GAAAAACAGGTTGACTTGGGTCATTGAGAGATGATTACTCAGCCCATCATGATCTAGTGACAAATCCACCTGCCAGAATTTTCTAAAGTGTGCCCATGATGGGCTATGTCTCTTCTGCCCCTTTAGGAGTTTCCAAGATGTCATTGCCTCATTGGCTCCCAGGTCCTACAGGATTGAGTCCCGCCTGACATACATAGGACATCATCTGCTATAATCTCCCACATACCCACGGGCCAACCCACTTTCCTTCATTTGTCTGTTCCTACAGTGATTCAACAAGCGTTTATTTGGAGTGAGTTGCTCATGAGGCCTGGGCGACAGTAACTGTGAACAAGAAATGTCGCTCTTGTCTTCATGCAGCCTGCTGTTTGCTGCAGTAGCACCTAATTCTTGCTTTCCCCTGATGCTTCCCTTGATAGATTCTCCTCTCCCTTCCTCTTTGCTACTGTGAGTGCCACTTTCCCGTTAAGACCCAGTTTGGGGTTTACTTCCTCCAGGAAACATTCCCTGATCTTACTACCTGACCAGATAGAGTCACAGAAATCCTTTGAGTTGAAAGAGATCTCAGCAATCTTGTAGCTGAAGACAATGAAGGTCAGGGCCATTAAGCAGTGAACCTAGGCACATCACTCATGATTGGCCATGATTCTTATCTTACTCCAACATAATATTGCATTACTGCTTTCTAATATGCATTTTAGTTTTTCCTTCTCAAATCGATTACTTTTATGCCTTGAAGACTTCTGTTCATGTAGATAGGTTTAATTTCCTCTTTCCTCTCCTCACTGCTTACAAAATAAAATCCAAGCTTTTCTGTGGGATGTACAGGGATCCAGTTGGCTCCAACCTACCTTTGCAGCCGCAGCTCCTGCCATGTGCCTCTTTGCATTTGATGCCTCAGCCACCCTGGGCTTCCCAACCACATGCTTGTGCAGCTGCTTATGCTGCTCTCTGCCAGGAAAGCCTGGGGCCTCTTTACCTGGAGAACGTCTACCTTTCTAAAAGGTCTTGTGAAAATAGTGTCTTGTGTGAAGCATTCTTCAATTACCTCCTGCCTTATAGACAAAGTAATCAAACAACGGAAATACCACACTACAGTACATGTCAATGACAGGGATACTTCTGGGAAATGTGTCGTAAGGCGGTGTCATCCTTGTGTGAACTTCCTAGAGTACACTTACACAAACCTAGATGGTACAGCCTACAATACACTAGGCTGGATGGTATAGTCTCCTATATACTAGGCGAGACGGTACAGCCTACTATGCACTAGGCTAGATGGGACAGACTACTATACACTAAGCTAGATGGTACAGCCTATAGGTAGATGGTGTAGTCTACTACACACTAGGCTAGATGGTACAGCCTACTATACTCTAGGCTAGATGGGACAGCCTACTATACTCTAGGCTAGATGGGACAGCCTACTATACTCTAGGCTAGATGGGACAGCCTAGTATACTCTAGGCTAGATGGGACAGCCTACTATACACTAGGCTAGATGGTACAGACTATTGCTCCTAGGCTACAAATCCGTACTGAATACTGTAAGCAATTGAAACAGTAAAAATATAGCCTAAAAGATGGGGGGGGGGGAGTACACTTGTATAGGGGACTTACCATGAATGGAGCTTGTAGGACTGAAAGTTGGTCTGGGAGTCAGTGAGTGCATGATGAGTGACTGTGAAGGCCAGGGAATTTACCATGCACTACGCTTAGGCTACACTAAGTTTATTTTTATTTAAGTTTTTTCTTTAGGAGTAAATTATTCTTGTCTTGCTGTAACAACTATTTTACTTTACAAATTTATATATTTTTAACTTTTTGACTTAAAAAAGTGTTTATTTTATGTACAAAAAGCTGTCATGGTTTTTCATTGGGTAGATGCCTTGGATAATCCTTTCAAGGAAGGTCACTTAGTCCAACTTAATGAAACCTTTATCCTTTGCATACCAATAGAAACACTGGTGGTACACAGATCAGACCATGCTGGTTTGAGCGGAAGCAGCAAGAATGAGAACCTTGTTGAAATTTTCCAGGGTGTCTCCAGGACAGCCGGCTGGTGACCCAAAATACTCTCAGGAATGAAATGAGATAAAAGGCCTTTTTAACTTTTTTTTGTAAAAATACTTAGTTTAAAACACAAACACATTATAGAGTTGTACAAAAAATATTTTCATTATAGCCTTATTCTATAAGTTTTTTCCAATTTTTAAAATGTAATTTTATTTTAAACTCTTTTGTTAAAAACTCAGACACACACACATTAGCCTAGACCTACACAGGGTCAGGACCATCCCTGCCCTTGTCTTCCACGTCCACATCCTGCCCCACTGGGAGGTCTTCAGGGGCAGTAACACATAGAGCTGTGATCTCCTGTGACAGCAAGGCCTTCTTTGGGATCCCTCCTGAAGGGCCTGCCTGAAGCTGTTTTAGTTACTTTTTAAAAAACATATAAGTAAAAGGAGTATACACTAAAATAATAGTAAAAAGTATGGTATAGTAAATACAAAACCCAGTGACAGTTGCTTATTATCAAATATGTTGTGCTGCCTGTAATTGGACCTTCATACAATTGGCAGTGCGATGGGCCGGTCTACCCCAGTGTCACATGAACATGTGAGTAAAGCACTGTGCTAAGACCTTAGGACAGTGGTGATGTCACTAGGTGACAGTGAGTTCTCAGCTCCGTTAGGATCCTATGGGGCCACCATTGTGTCTGTGGTCTATTATTGACGTCATCATGCTGCACGTGACTGTGCCTTCTTCTCGCCTCTCTTGTAGTTTCTCCTGCTTTCTATATTGTAATCTCTTTTGACAAGCTTAGGAGCACCTTGAAAATAGAAACTGCATCCTACTTATCAGCACCTCGCTTGGAAATCACTTATTTTCCATACTCCAAAATCACTCTCCTGGTTCTCCTACTTCACTGGAACTGCCGTTGAGGTTTCTTTTGAAGGCGCTGCTTTTTCTCCCAGAGTTTGCTTGGTGAAGAGCTCCAGGGCTGGGTCCAGGCCATCCTCTCTGGCTGCACTCACTCCTTGCTGGTACTACTGGGTGTCAGAGCCGTAAACGTGCTTTATACTCAAATGCCTTCTACACGTCCATCTTCAGGCCTGACCTTTGCTTTGAAATGCAGACCTGTGTCTTCTCTAGTGTCTAAAGACGTTTCACATTTGTCTGATACATACCAAACACTCACTTTCCCCTGCAAACTGTCCTCTGTTTCCTTCATTTTGTTAAAAGTCACTACATGTGCACAGGAACTCAAGTCAAAAGCCTCAGACTCACTTTTGACTCCTCTCTTTCTCTAACACCCGAAATCCAATCTGTTAGCAAAGCCAGGTTTACCTTTAAGATAATCCAAGCTACAGCTTTTTCTCACCATGTACCCGCTCCCACCATAGCGTGGCCCGCACAGCCTTCCCCAAGAATGACCTCAGCACCTCCTCACTGGCTTCCTGCGCTAACTTGTTCCCCTCACTGTGCTCGCCATGGGCCCTGGAGACTTATTCTTTTAAGGAGTGAATCAGCTGATGTCCTTCTCCTGCTCAAAAAGCACTCACAGCTTCCCAACATGCTGGGAATAAAATGCAAACTTCTTACAATGACTTGGACTCCTCCATGTGCTCAGCCCTGTGGCTCGCCCTCATGCTCCAGCCCCATTGCTTGTCTTCCAGGCACAGTAGTCCTCTTGCTCTTTCTCAAGATTGCTCCTTGCTCGGACAGTGTGGATTCCCTCTGCTGGACAGCCTGCCTTCAGGCACCTACTGGTGCACTGACCACCTCATCTCACTTAGGTCTCTGCTCAAATAGCCCTTCCCAGAGGTGCTCATGGTATATAAATTGGAATTCCACCCACTCACTCTTTTTCCCCATCCCTTGTTTTGTTTTTATTCATAGCATTAATCATTGCTTGAAACTACACTATATATTTAATTCATTAATTTATTCATTTATTCAACAGACAAGTGCTAAGCCTCTGCTTTAAGCGAGGCACTGTTCTAGGGGTGGGGTCTACACCCAATAGCCAAGATACACAAAGGTCCTGCTCACATGGAGCTTACAACCCAGCAGAGGATAATGGATCTTCAGCAACTTGGCAAATAAAGGAATCCTATACTGGGACAGTAGGTGCTGGAAGACACATGATGCAGTATAAAGAAAACATGGAGATATGGCAGGTGGGGCTTGGGGCATGCCTTTTTTTTTTCTGTCCAGTGAACATAGAATCTGACAAGTAAAGTGACATTTGGGTAGAGACACTGAAGTGAGTGTCACAACCAGAGGAGACAGCAAACAAAGTGGTGTGACCAGGACATTAAGGGAGCCTGAGTCTTGACTGAGGGAACAAGGAAAGGGTATAGGAGGTGTCACATGGCCAGGACACATAAGGTTTTGAGACCCATGGTAAAGATTCTGGCGTTTACTGTGAGTGAAAAGGGAGGGCATGCAGGGCTTGGAGCAAAAGGTGGACATGACTGAGGGGCCTGGGAGGGGAAACAAAGATAACAGTTAAGGGCCCTGCAAAGCTTCAGGAGAGATGATAGATGCTGCACCAACGTGGTGGGGGTAGAGGCAGGGAGTTTCAGATTCTGATATCATCTGATGGTAGAACCAGCAGGATCTGCTGATGTATGGGGTATAGCGCATGAGAGAAAGAGTAGAATCAAGTATGACTCCATTTTTTGGCTTGAACAACTAAAAGAATGGAGTGTTGTTGTTGTTGTTTTAAACGTAGGAGAATGAGAGAGGAACAGGTTGACAAGGGGCGGGAAATTCATAGTTTCATTTGGGACACAGTAAGCTTGAGAAGCCCAGTCTGGCTTCTGGTAGATATGTCAAGCAGGCAGTTGAATCTATGACTCAGGAATTCAGAAGAGAGGTTTGAGCATCATCAGCAAATCAATAGCATTTACAAGTATGATACAGGATTTATTTATTGTCTTTCAGTCCTACTATGAGGATTGGGACTTTGTTTTGTGTTGTTCTATCTGTAATTTCCAGAAGAGTGCCTGGTGCAGAGGCATTGCTCAGTAAATATTTTGAATGAATGAACACTTCAATAGACAGCATCTAGCACATGATCGGTACATTATAAATACTTGATGACTGAATGGATAATGGCTCTCCAGAGGGGCTAGCACAATACCTGACATACAGTAGCTTCGAAATACATACTGGATGGATGATTGACAGTTTCAACATGATTCTATATAGAACTGGATTGCCTGTCTCCAGGACCAGATGTGAGAACAAAGAAGCCGTAAAATGTAAGGATTTCATGACCGTCTTTCTGTGAGGCTGAATTGTATGTGGTGGTGGGATCTCCAGCAAACCTGGGTGGATCGGAAGTTGGACCTGCTGGTAACTACAGTTTAACTCTAGAACTATGGAAATAGTGGAAGATGCCATGACTGCCCTCAGTAGAATAAGCACAAAGGTAGAGCTGAGGAAGAGGGAACGTAAGGGCAGAAAGAAGCAAGTTCCCTCCTCCCATCTCGAAATCTGCTGAAATGCTCTTCCCTTTATATCCAGACAAGGAAGATATGTGCAAATGTTTTCCCAAAGGGAATGCAATTTCTACACTGATCCCCCAGGGTGCGCAATAAATATTTTAGAAGCATAGCAATCTCTTGTATTCTTACGATTCCCTCTCTCTAGCTTTTAATCCAAGCTGCCTTCACCTCCTGCGTCTCTGTCCACGTCCCTTTACAGCCTTTATGCTTCCTTTTCCCTTCCTGTGTCTGCTTTCTGCTTTCTTTCTCCTATCCTTCCTGGACTCCCATTTCTTTGTTCAAAAATGTTCCCAAAAAAGGAGAAGGGGAGAAAAGATGCGCAGAGCATCCCAGTGGGAGAGAACTGAAGAAAGAGAATTGCCAATTTTGAAGAGCCTTTCCCTTTTTATTGCAATGTTTTGTGCTTCCCCATATCAAATCTTTAAAGAAAATACTAACATTAATAATATATAGTTTGCTTTGTTCAATTTCATTTTATCCTGATCCAAAGGGCTTGGAATGCAAGGTATAGGAGCGTGTTTATCCCATGCTTCACAAAAAGCAGAATGATTGCCCCCACTCTGCTCCTATGTGTCTCTTTTCTCATCTGTTTTGATTTCTGGGTGGAAAACAATTTTCGCTTGTTGTGGGAGCACTGGTAACCTCTGCCAGAGCTTCCTAAGAGCCCTGTCCCAGCTGTTGCCAGCTGCGCTCCCTGTAGGGTGCCTTTCCCTGATGGGCAAGGCCTTTGGCTGCCTTTCAGGCCTCCTGATTTGCCAATCCACCTTACCATCTCTTGTTAAGGTCAGCTTTGACCCCAGAAATAACAGTATCTGATGTCAGATTCCCTTCAAATCTAAGAAGGTGTTGTCAATAACACTTCTGTAAATGCAAGAAGGACAATGTCAGGTGCTGGGTTTGTCTTCCCGTACCGCCGTGAATCATGCGTATGCCCCATGTGCCGCTACTTAAGCATAAACCTCATAACAATTACCTCTTTAAAAATAAATGCTTTTATTCTGTTTTCAATAGTGTTCATGATACTGGACATTTTGAAAAAGTATGAAATAAAGTTTTTTCTTTGCAAAGAGTGAGTTCAAGTAAAAACTGATCTTAGTGCATTTATTTTTTCTTCTATTTTGACAGCAGAAGACAAACAGGGATTTATTCCCTCCCTAACCCATGTTCTTCTCCTTCCTGCCTTTTTCCAGATTGATGTCTACAAAACCCTAATAATTGTCTAAAAAGATGGTTCTGCATGAAGAATGCAGGCAAACCTCCCAACAATTTTAGTGTCTTCAGTCAGCATAAGGAGAAAAAAAACTCTAGAATTTTTGTTTTGCAAGATTTCTATGATTTTTCTGAAAAGTAATTCAAATCCACTGTTGTTGAGGACATGGCCATTTTGTAAGAGTGTCCAACCAAATAGCAAATAATCCTTTTTTTGAAAAACAGACAAACAAACAAGCAAACAAACAAAAAAACCAAAAATCAAATATTTGTTGCAGAACTTCCTTTCCTTCACCTCTACACAACACCAGAGCCAGAGGTGTCCCATGGGAATGGAACATGACACCCTGTAACTTTTCAAGACCCTTTGATGCTTTCCTTTAGAAGAAACAAGAGGAAGCTATTAATTGTCTTAGACTCAATTTCTCACAACCTGTGCTTTGAGAGTAAAATTCACAATCTACAGGGAATACATTTCTACTAAAAAGAATTTTCTCTCTCAACAATTGTGGATGGCTCTTGTTTTTCCTGGAGTGCTTTTCTCAAAGTTCTACATTATTGTCACCTCCTTTGAATCTCTCTTCTTTGTAGCTTATCTGGATATTCATTTTGCGTTTAGGTTATTCTAATTCATTTTATTTCTTCCATTCTATTCCTTTCTGTTCCATTTTACCCAAAAAACATTTATTGAGCATACATCCATTAGAACTCTGACTTTTAGAAGCTCTCAATTGAGCAAGAGTGACAAGGGCAATGACATTTATACTGATAACTACAATAAGACCACTACAATCTCAGAAGATTAATGTTTTAAATGAGATGTTCAAAACATACCCCAGGGATAAAGGGGAGAAAGTTGAAACAACTATATTTGCTCAGAAATCAAACTCGAAATAAAAATTTAATTCAGGAACTATATCAAATTGTAATATATGCTCTCCCTTAAGAATAGCTTACAATGATTTTAGTCTCTTATACCCACATTTTGCAAGGATGCACTCACACAGGACTGTAAAATTATCTGAGGTATATAGGGGATAAATATTGTAAAGAGTGGTTTAAAATGCTTGTTCTAAATGACTGTTAAGCCAGGTTGATTCATTTCATGGAATTTTACTGATTGTGAATTTTGTGCTATGACAGGTGCTAGAAGTAGCAGCATGAAGAGTAAAAACCAGCCCATGTCCCTGAGGCATGGACAGTGTTGGGCATGTCTTCTTAATCATCAACATGACCTGGAATAAAGACATATCTGAATTCCCCCCACTCCAGTCCTGATGCAAAAGCCGTGTGTATCACACTCTTCATAGCCTCAGTCAAGTGAAAGAGCATGACCAGGCTGTCTTCCTTCTCTACGTTGTGAGAAGGAATAAAGTGATGGATGTGAGAGTGGTCTCAAGACTAAAAGTGCTATACGTCTGAAGGGTGAGGTGTTATTAGAATAAGATATAGAAGCATTTTATAGCAGGTAATATGCATCCCCTGTAAAATGTGTTTTATTTAGAGTCATATCTTTCAAACGTGTCAGAATTATAGAAATACATATTTTACATTTTTCTGAAATTACTTCTAATGCTTAATGGTTCTTTTTTTGGATATTTTGCTTTTTTTATTGCATTTTAGGTTTGGGGGTACATATGAAGAACATGAGAGATTGTTGCATAGGTACACACGTGGCAGTGTGATTTGCTGCCTTCCTCCCCTTCACCTATATCTGGCATTTCTCCCCATGCTATCTCTACACAAATCCCCACCCCCCACTGTTTCTCCCCTATTTTCCCCTAGTTCTTATTAGGAAAATAATTTGGCTTCTCTCAGAACACTGTGCTTGTCCTCTTGAGCTACGGGAAAAGCAAGACAAGACACAGCAGGTTGGCCTCCTGCCATGCTGGATTTGATCAGTCATGCATGCCCTCTTCCTGACTTGGGCCAAGGAGCTCCAAAATCTGATTCTGACAGAGTTCTAATCACTCGATAATTTCAGGGTCATGCCAACAAAATTAGGAAAAGATATGTGGGCTTTGTTACACTCAAAATGTACTAGCATATTGAACAAAGTAGATCCAAGATCATAAAGTTTTACAATTCTAAGACTAAGAGAGTCTCAGCCCAATATTATAAAATGCTACTATGTTGGCACAGGTAGATATAGAAAATTAAAGTCTTCACTATAGGAAAAAGCAAAGAGAAGATCAAGATAGATTTGATGATGCCTTACAGAGCCTTCCATAATGAGGATCAGCTATCTTCTCCTCAATAATAATTATGAGCAGGTATCTTTATACACACTACTTAATTAAAAGCCTAACAATATTGGAGAAAATATTCAGTGTGTGTCAGTATGTCTCTGTGTGTGTGAGTGACGGTGAAAAATGCTATACCATAGAATACTGTGCAGCCATAAAAAGGAAAAAGATCACGTCTTTTCCAGGGACATGGATGGAGCTGAAAGTCATTATCCTCAGAAACTAACTCAGAAACAGAAAACCAAATACCACATGTTCTCACTTATAAGTGGGAACCAAATAATGAGAAGACATAGACAGACGGTGGGGAACAGCACACACTGGAGCCTGTTGGAGCAGGGAGAGGGGAGAGGGAGAGCATTAGGAAAAATAGCTAATGGATGCTGGGCTTAATACCTAGGTGTCAGGATGATCTGTGCAGCAAACCACCATGGCACACATTTACCTATAAAACAAACATGGATATCTGGCACACCCCTGAACTTAAAACAAAAGCTGAAAAAAAAAAAGAAAATACTATGGAAAAACTAAAACAAGCTATCGGGACAGGAAATGCTGGGGTGATGCGGGAAGGTTGCTCTTTTATAGGCTGTGATCAGAAAATGTCTCAATGATTTGGAAGCTTTCTGAGAAGAGAGCAGAAAGAAGTATTGGAGTGAGCCATGCATACTTCGGAAGAACGAACATTCCAAGCAGAGGTAATAACCAATACCATGCCCTGAAGTGGGAGGACTTCTCCTAAGGTAAAGGAACAGAAAAGAGCCTTTGGTCTCAAGTGGACTGAGGGGAATAGCAATAGAACAAGAGGTCAGGAAGGTGACCAGGCCAGGTGGCACTCAATGTTTCTGACCACCGTTAGACCTTTGGCTTCCACTCTGTCATTCCTTGAAGCAACTACCAAAGATAGAGGAGAAAACTGCGGCACTACACCAAAATGGGAGGCTACATTCTGTCCTTTTCTTAATTTTTTTTAAAAATACGGATGTGTGGCAGTTTGACATTTTTGTTTGCAGCCAATAGTCATGAAAATATCTCTTCAAAAACTTTCAAAATATATTGACTAAGACTCCACCTCTTTAGTCGAACAAAAGTTCATGGTTTTAGAGAACATGAATTATTTACAGAACATGATGAATTGTTTGTCTAAATATACTCTATGTTTTTATAGATTTTAACTCTTGACTGTAAATAAAGTAATCAAAGGAAAAGAAAAATACTCTGCTTCAATAAATCCATTTCAAATCAAAAGAAAAATAGTGGTAGCATTACTTAAATGATGGCTTAATGTGGTGTTACATAGTTTAGAGGTACAAGGAGAAATAAAACTTGAAGATTTCACCAAGTTAATGGTCCAGCTGATGTCCTACACATCAAGAACAAAGTCATCTATTTTTTCTTGTGAATATCACAGCCCTAGTATATGACCATAGGTTACCATATTCCTTATTTCATTGGATTCTGACTATGCATTCATTATATTCAAGGAACCCCAGTGATCACAATGCAAATTTTTGCCATGCAGCTTCAGGTTCAGTATTTTATCTGTTCAATTTAAGACAGAAGAATCATACAACTTTTAAAGGAGAGAGTATCTAAAAACAATATCTAAGGATGTTGGTATTTGTCAAGATAGCTTGGCTTTATTTATACTCAATTCTTCATAGAGGAAGTTTGAATTTCCCTCCACAATTCCTCCGTAGTGGAAGTTTGAATTTTCATGTTTAATACTTTGAGGGGGATTTTGAAGAGGGTCCCAATATTTTTAAATGATATATATCAAGACACAGTGCACTGCTTTATTGGAAATGGGACACTCTGTAGATTTGAAGAGGAATAAACATTTATATCTTGCAAAAGTTTGGCTGCTCCAAGCCTCAAAAAAATAAATAAATAAAATCCAGAAGAAGTGGTGTGTGCTACGCAAATGAAATGGATTTGCATTTAAATGTAGGTACAGTTCCTATGGAGATACAGCCCTTTTGGAGTTACAGTACTGCAGTAAACATACATGTGCTCGGACAAAAGCCATGATCTCAGAATTCTGGGAGTATGCTTCCCCAGTGGGTGGTAGCACACCCTGAAATTCAATCAGGGAGTTGATCCAGGCTGCTCAGGTGGAGAAGGAACAAGAACCGAAACTGGACAAGGTCACTAGGTACTAATGGTGGAGATAGAATGATTCCAAGCATGGGGGCTGAAGAAAGGGTCCTCTGCCAGCCCTAAGCATAGGAACAGGAGGAACAGCATTATGCTAAGAGCAGAGGAGCAGTCTGCAAAGATAGTCCAAGCTCCATTGACATGGGGGGCTAAGAGCAGCAGGGCTAGGCATGGCTGCTCATGCCTGTCATGCTGCCATCCTCAGAGGAGCTGAGATTGAGGGCTTGTCAGGGGCTGGAGGGGTCTTGCCTCATCACTATGCCATAGATTTCCTTGTTAGGCCTGGCACAATGTGAGATACGCAAGAGCAAGGGACCATCAGTTGTCTGCAGAGGAGAGAACCAGCTCAAGCTGAAAACCGTTCATTTCACAAAGATGGGAGGAGCATGGTGATGGGCATCACAGAGAAGGCAGAGGAATTCCATGCTCAAAAGCTCAAAGTCTGGAACTTGAATGCCTGGGATTGAATCTTATTCTGACTCTCACTTCCTGGCTGATCTTGGGCGATTGATTTCCTCTCTATGCCTAAGCATCCTTAACTGGAAAACAGAGATGTGCATTATAACCATGTCACAGAGTTATCCTTAGGATGCAAGGGATAATTACTTCAAGCACATGGTGGGAACTGGGGAAGAGCCCCGCTCATGCCAGTGACTATGTTAACTTCAGGGAGTTAACATCACAGTGCGTTCTGCCAACAGGGAACACTATTCAAACAATAAGCCAATATTCGAGCACAATGTGCTATTTCCCGGGTCTTAGGCATACAGGACCCCAAGAACCTAAGTATAGACCTATTTATCTTGTCTGTGGCTTAAAGTCACATTTCAAGAAGCAGTGAAGAGGAAGGTAATAGGTTGTGAAACCCAGTTCTGAAGTTACTTAATCACCTCATACATCAAATCACGACTGAGTCAGGACACTGATGTTAAAGTGAAGTCTAAAAGTGTGAAAACCACGTGACTATTTGGGATCCTTAGGGAAATTAAGTCTTCGTTAGACCGTGCCTTATAGGTAGTGTCTGGTCTCAGTCTTGTTATGGCCCCTCTGCAAATGAAATTGTTCAGCTCCTCTAAGAATTAGTATTTATCAATCATGTCTCATTGTTGGACTCATTTTATTTATTAATAAAATCCTCATCCAACTTGATAGATCTGGGGTGGAGCCCAAAATACATAATTTTTGCAAGAACTTAAAACATTCCCATAATCAGGCAAATTTAGTCAAAATTTGGAAACACTACAGCAGAAGATATGTAACTGCTGAACTTATCCTTGGATCCAGGGAACAGCTTCCCAAGCCAACTTCCAGTAAGGGCCAGAGGGTTTTGAAGAAGCTGTCCATGTGGTCCTTTGGTCTTGTCTTCTGATGCCTTTACATATTGTAAATCCACATGGTTCCCTTTTAAAATTAATTATTATTATTATTTTTTACTTTAAGCTCTGGGATACATGTGCAGAATATGCAGGTTTGTTATGTAGGCATACCTGTGCCATGGTGGTTTGCTGCACCCATCAACCCGTCATCTAGGTTTTAAGCCCAACATGTATTAGGTATTTGTCCTGATGCTCTCCCTCCCCTTGCCCCCCACCTGCTGACAGGCCCCAGTGTCTGATGTCCCCCTCTCTGTGTCTATGTGCTCTCATTGTTCAGTTCCCATATACAAGTAAGAACATGTAGTGTTTGGTTTCTGTCCTGTGTTAGTTTGCTGAGGGTGATAGTTTCTAGCTTCATCCATGTCCCTGCAAAGGACATGAACTCATTCTTTTTTATGGCTGCATAGTATTTCATGTGTATATGTGTCACATTTTCTTTATTCAGTCTATCATTGTTGGGCATTTGGGTTGGTTCCAAGTGTTTCCTATTGTAAATAGTACTGCAGTAAACATACATGTGCACGTGTCTTTATAGTAGAATGATTTATAATCCTTTAAGTATATACCCAGCAATGGGATTGCTGGGTCATATGGTATTTCTGGTTCTAGATCCTTGTGGAATCACCACACTGTCTTCCAC